AACCCCCAACTTATTCAGCAAGTTTTAAGCAGCGGATGCCCTTCCAGCCGCAACCCATCTCTGGGAAACATCCACACACACACACTCATACACTACAGACAATTTAGCCTACCCAATTTCCCTGTACCGCATGTGTTTGGACTGTGGGGGAAACCGGAGCACCCGGAGGAAACCCACGCAAACACAGGGAGAACATGCAAACTCCACACAGAAACGCCAACTGAGCCAAGGGTCGAACCAGCGACCTTCTTGCTGTGAGGCGACAGCACTACCTACTGCGCCACTGCGTCGCCCCATACTAATAATAATATAACATGATGTCTGCGGTCTGGAGGTATTATAGATATAAAGTTGATGAGGACAACATTGCCAGAGCAAACTGAGAGATATGTAAACCTACGATTGCCTGCCGGGTATTTTAAGACGAGCTGCTGTTTGTTTACATATTTACTGTTGCTCTGAAGTCCAGAAGTGAAGCACTGGTGTTTTTTATTACTTGATTGTTGAAGCTTCCTCACAGAAGTGCTCTGTCTGTTAACAGAGATGGTAAATGTTAAAATAAGGTGAATGAAATAAAAACCAAAGGATCATCCTGGATCTGTTTCTTCACTCTTTTTTATTTATTACAGAAGTATCAGATCAGGTTTAGGCATCGACAGATACTCAAAATCAAATGACAAATGAAAAAACCTGATCCAGACATCCCTAATAATAATAATAAAACATTAACATTTAACAACGGTGAACATTTGAATTTACATAAGGAAATCAGACTGTTGTAAATGCGTGGAGAATATTCAGAATAATATTTTAGCAAGTTGAATGCTACAGAAATGTAATTTTGTTAACTTAAAATGATGAGAAGAAAAAAAATTATGATTTCATGAGACTTCTACTGAAGTGTAATTCAGAGAGTGTGCTAGTGTGTGTGTGTGTGTGTGTGTGTAGCGCACTGAGGTTTTCTCTGAGCTGGTGGGTTGATTCAGATCGATTTCTCTCTGTCTGTGGGAGAAATGCAGAGCGGAGCATCCGCAGATCTGCTTTCTGGATCATTTACAGCAGCAGAAAATAATATGAGGAGTCTCGGTCACATCTTAGACTCTACAGCGCCTCTTGCAGGCCTACACCGCAAAACACACCACCTTCCTTACTCAGAGGTTCGCTCTTGTTTCTAGTCCACATTTCTAAACATTCTTATTTCAAGAAGCATTTTCTAGACAAGTGCATTTGTTTTAATTTGTTTTAATTAATAAATGTCATCATTTCCTTGTCCTCCAAACCTGTTTGTGTTTCTTCTGCTGAACACATGTTGAAGAATGCTGGGAAATCATTCATTGACTTTCATTGTTTTTTTAATCTATTAAAGATGCCAATGTGCAGCATTTGCAGCATTCTTTAAAATATCTTCCTTTGTGTTCAACAGAAGAAAGAAACTGATAAAAGTTATCAACCACTTGAGTGAGAGTGACGAGGATATCTTCACTATTGTGTGACTGTGCCTTTAAACTGCAATGGCATTATAAATGTTAAATACATACATTAATTCCCCATGTTTTAATCTCAAACTGTGCTCAGATTGGCTGTGCTCAATCTCTGAGGCACAGTTCACCCAAACATTAAAAGTCTGTCATGATTTTACACTTTATATGTAGAACATACAGTTT